AAAATTCGGGTCAGAAATGAGATACGTAGCTACTTTGGTTACTTTGGCACACCATATATTTACATGACTATAAATCCTTCGCCTGCACATAATCCAATTTTCCAAGTCATGTATGGTGACACTACTGTAGACTTGGCCAAACGATTTCCACTAGTTGTGCCTGCACATGAACATGCTTTGCGGCTGGCCAAAGATCCAGTTACAGCATGCGATTTCTTCTACTTTTGTATACACACTATATTTGAAGACCTCTTGGGCTGGGATTTTTCTAAGAGACGCTCCAAAAGGCAAGGTGGAATCTTAGGAAAGTTGCGTGCATTTTATGGTACACCTGAATGTACTGAGCGTGGTACACTGCATGGTCACTTTGTATTATGGCTACTTGGAGGTCTGAATCCTTCTGATTTGCATGCTAGGTTGCGTGACAATCATGAGTTTGAATACCGATTTTTCAGATACTGGGAGAGCATTATATTTCATCACTTGCCTAATATTGATATGCAAGTTGATCAAACGTACGAACCTCGTATTGAACGACCACCACAACCATCTATTGTTGGTGAATCGGCACTCAATATTCTGAATGAATGGGAGTCAGTGTTTGTCACTGAAATTAAAAAATGTGGAGAAGTCTTGCAGCGTCATCAACACCATAAAGTCTGTGAAAAATACGGTAATGAAGGTAAATGCAGATTTTTATTTCCCCATGAGGTTGTTGAGAGCTCATATTTTGATCGTAATACTAACTCTGTCATTCTGATGTGTAAAGATGCAAATGTGAACTACTACAATCCATATATTCTGGTTTTTTGCAGACATAATCATGACATTAAATGTATTCTTTCTGGTAAAGCTGCGAAGGCTGCAATGTTTTATATTACAGACTATATTACTAAGGTTGACCTAAAAACCTATCAGATGCTATCATTGTTATCAAAGGCAGTAGCAAGTTTACCCAGTGGCAATGACCAATCCTCGCAATTGACTAGTTACAGTACAAAAACCTTACTAAATAGGTGCTTGGCTCAATTCTTGCGTCAACAACAGATCCACTCTCAGCAAGCAGCCTGGTACATACGTAAGAGAGGTGATAGTATTTCATCACATCCTACAAAGCCCTTGCTATCTATTTTGTTACTGCTTTATGTCAAAGAGCATTATTCATTTGCTATGCAAATTGAAAGTCAGAGTGGTGAGGATAATCATTCTGATGCTGATGACATAGAAGAGTGTACTATCAATATTAAAGTGAATAAAAATGGACAGCTACTCGAACGGAACCAAATTGATGATTACATCTACAGACCAGACACTCTTTCTCACTTAAACTTCTATGACTTCTGCAGATACTTCACATTAGAGTCTAAAACAGCACAGCATAACCATCATACATCAGATGATCGACTAGGTGTACTTCCACATCTTTCTGTAAAGGAACAACATCCTCTTGCAGATACACATGTACTTGTTGAGCACTTCAGTCCAATGCATGTTGACTTTAATATGGAGCGTGTTCCACGTCCAATTGGTACACTGATCCCTCGCCGTGAAAATAGTGAAAGGTATGCAATATTTATGCTGGCACACTTTAAACCATTCAGTGATACAGTTCCACTTGTAGAGTACGGTGACACCTTTCAGCATACCTTCAGTGTATATGACTTTAGTGAGTTCAGCAAAACCAAGATGCGCAACTGGGAGGCAGTATGTGAATGCGAAGATGCAAGAGACAGTGAACAGTTGCGCAAGCGAGCGACGCTGCTAGCAGAATCACGTCACTTGACAAAATCCATGTACTCATCTGTTACAGCAGACACAGATGATGATGTTGATGTTACATCACATGATAGACGAAGTGCAGTCAATGACTTTAAGATACAGCAGTTTGTCTCTTTACTTGAACAGTGCAATTGGCTCCATCACAACACTTATCACAAGATAGCTGCACTATCCACTGTTAAATATAATATAACCCACTTGCAGTTGCAGAAGTGGAAGTCAGCCCTACATGAGCAAGAGATGCAAGTAATGCAGAAAAGACGTAATACTGGCAACATGAGCTCTCAGTTTACTCTCGAAAAAACTCCTGCATACACTGAGTATTACATGATGCCTACAATACCAGAACAATTAACCACATCCACAGAAGCCCCAAATATGAGTGATACTACTGCATTAGTTGAACAGTCCCCAATGAAAGTTCTACAGTCTGTTCAGACATCCTACAGTTTAAATGCTAAGCAGGCATGTGCCTTTCAGATTTGTGCAAAACATTTTATTCAAAACTATGTAGTCAAATCAGACACTGTAATGGAACCGCTGTACTTATTGCTCACCGGTGGCACAGGCAAGACGCATGTTGTCAAAGCCTTGAAAGAATTGATGACATACTTTGGCTGCTTATACCAAATTCGTTTTCTTGCACCTACCGGCTCTGCTGCTACTCTAATCGATGGAATGACAATTCACAAAGGACTTGGTTTGAAGATACAATCAAAGACAAAGGGTAAAGGCAACAGGCGACTAGGCGAAAGTGAACAGGACTATACAGTAACAATTAGTGTTCAAAATTGTACAGTATTGTGTGATGAATGGCAGCATGTTGAGTTTGTACTTATTGATGAAATCTCACTGGTTAGCTGTCAGTTACTCTCTGAGATAGACCATGCATTACATTATGCCAAAGAAAAACCAGATGTATGGTTTGGAGGTATTAATATAATTTTTGCGGGAGATTTTTATCAATATCCTCCAGTAGGTGGCACACTGCTATACACACCTATATCAGCATATGCAAGACAGACATCAGATGAACTCAGCAAGAGGCTTGGTCGACTTGCATGGAAGCAAGTAAACACAGTGGTAAAGTTGACTGAGCAACAACGTATGAAAGATGATCCTGAGTATGGTGATGCAGTCAACAGATTGCGAACACGTGAATGCACAATGGGAGATGTTGACCTATTTAATACATGGGTAGTTAAGTCAGCGACCCATCTTGATGGCCTTCAAATAAAAGATGATGATGATGATGCTACAGTAATTGTCAATACCAACCTGCTACGACAAGCTATTAATACTGAAAAGGCACAGGCAAACTGTGATGCAGACAATGGTTTGAGCTTAATAATATGCACAGCAGTCGATAAGATTGATGGTCAGGTACCTGAGAAATCCACTCATGATGCACTTCTGCGGCTCAATGTAACACCACTTACTTCTGAAGGTGCCCTCCCAGCATTCATTTCATTATATGTAGGCATGCCTGTGGTACTATGCAGTCGAAACATCTCCACAGAACTTGGAATTACCAATGGTGCTCAAGGCATAGTTAGGCACATCTCGATTAAACACTGTCCTGTCGGATACACATATGCAGATTGTGTTATAGTTGAGTTTCCTACAAGCAAGGTACATCTGCCTGATTTGCCTTCAGGCTATGTGCCTATTGCTCCAACAACATGGCGGTTTACAACTACACTTAGAGATGCCAATGGAGATACACAAAGGTACCAAGTTACCCGACTGCAACTCATCATACAACCTGCATTTGCTGTCACTGGCCACACGTCGCAAGGCAAAACACTGCCTAAAGTACTTAACAACATGACTGAGGGCGGCTTTGCAGCCTACATTGCTGCATCGAGAGCACGCACACGAAATGGCCTATTCATCTCAGAGCCAGTAAAGTTGGAACAGCTAAACAAGCCTGTTTCTGCTGACCTATACCATGAGACACAGAAATTTAAAGTGCTTGAGCAAAATACTTTAATTCACTATGGCTTTATTTAAAACAGGATCCCTCGTACCTTTGCCAAATCCTGAAAGTGAAGATGACATCTCCACAAAGTCATTTCATGTCAACTTTAGTGACAGTAGCTCACAGTCAAAAGGAACCAAATGGAAAGCCTCACAAATGGAAGAATCAGGGATTTTGCCATCAATATCAATGCCACATTCTGACTCATCACCATACATGTACAAGCACGGTTGCCAATGGTCATCCACAGACTACTCATGTGCATATGATGCCACATTTATGTCACTTTATCACAGCTACTCTCAACTGAGCTCTTCTTTGCGTGCAATGTGGAAGAATCAGTCGGCTATTGCTAGTCTGTTGGTCAGTTGTTTTGAGAATCTGAGCCCAGACTCCAGTGCTGAGCAGTTTAACATGCAACGTGATTTTCTCCGAGATTTTCTTAGTAGACGATCACCTATCCAATATCCAAGATATGGTCCACAGTTTGCCTCTGCAGCAAGCATAATTGAATGTGCATTGGAAAACATCACTAACAATATAGTCACAACCATACAGTGTCTTGCCTGTCATCAAACACGCCGAATCACACTAAGAATCCCATCTGTTATTGTGTCCACCGGCATGCAGTCCTCTGCTGAAACTCAAACTATACAAACTTGGTTAAGTAAGACCATGACATCATCCATTCTGCATGCAAGAAGATTACTATGTCAATGCGACAGTGAAGTTGATCATAATATAAGCAACATTACACCACCGCCCATCCTATACTTTGAATATCCATCACAGGAACATACAGTTATCACTCCCATATTTGATCTGGAATTCAATATGCAGACCACCTACTCATTGGCAACTGTAATATACTTTGGATCTAGTCACTTTACAGCACATCTCCTCCACTCTGACAACTCAGGATGGATATACGACGACCAACAGAATGACCGTGTCCCACAATATGAAAACAGAATGGATACCGATGACCTTACACCACTCCTTACACTTGACGGACGCTGGGCGCACATTCTCGTGTATACATCAAATGGTCCATTCAATCAAATCAATTGAATCAACAAAATATTGTATTATTGCTACCATGACACTATACCTATTTTACTGACTTTATTACCTGATCGACACGATCTTCATGCTCAGATGATCCTTTCATTTGAATTTTTAAAAGACAGCCATACCATCAGTATCTTATATCATATGACTATATGTAACAGTACTGCAACTATCCCACCGGCTTCATTACCTGATCTACATCATCTGTCTTGTCCAATACTGTCAGCGAATTCAAGTGTTGTTCAGTACTGGTTAAAACAGAAGGCACAGACTGGAGGTAAGAGAACCGTCTCTTCTTCGGAGCCTTACCTCCACCAGTGTTATCAGCCACCGCAGCAATACACATCATCGACAAGTGCTCTGACTCGCAGTCCACAATCAGCTATAGCCACCATTAGAAGTCATTTTCTGATAACAAACAAATGCGGGCAAACACCAACTCACCTTCATCCCTAAGCGACTCACGATCATGACAGTGTCAAGTCGTGTAAGAAACTTGCGACCTACATTTGCCCCATTTGGACTCACATGCTCACGAAGCCGAAAGTTTACTGAAAGCTCAACGAGCTCACCGGCACGCACCATGTCAAGGGATGACTGCACAAGAGTAGACCACCTACATAAACACAACGTCACCTCAAGCAATGCAGACAGATGATTTCATATCATGACATACCTGTCGTCATACTCGCCCTTCAGCTCCATGCATGACACGACATTGTCTGATGTCCACGAGAGCCTCCCACCAGCAACTAGCTCTGCCAATGCACCATACGGGTCAATAACCATGTTCAGATTGGCACTGTCAAACAACGGTGCTTCCACCGGCAACCACAACAGTCTGCAGAGCGAGATTCGGATTTCCCCTCGGCAGCCTAGATACGAATCAATCACATCGGCAAGCAGCTTGTGAAGTGCAGAAGTGACAAACCTGAATGAGCGCCTGAAAGGGGGCAGAAGACTCATCTGAGAAACAAACCCAGACACACGCAGTGTAACCTCCTCGCGCGAGCTTTGCCACACCAGGTACAAATACCCACCCGAACTGACCTGAACATCAAATTGACGCTCAACTGTCTTGAACTGATCGTACGTCTCGAGCAGGAACTGCGATCCCTGTCCATCGGCACCTATTTCCGGATTCGGTGCCTTTGTACGTGTGGTCCACTCGTCGAATAATTTCACTGACCAAGATTCAGCCATCATCCAGTCCCATCACGAAAACAGAAACTCAACGCACCACAATGCACATCCTGAAAGACCTTTGCCATCGTGTCAGAACTCAGGTGAGCCTCCAAATTCATTTTGATCGAAAGCAGCAAGATTTTTACTAAACTTTATACACCAGTGTCAATTGCCAGCAAGACACGATCAACGAGCAAGAATGAACACACCGGTGGAGGTAAGTAGCCATCCACAACGACCGACACTCACCCCCGCACGACAAACCATTCGCGCATCAGATTCAAATCTTACCATTGCGCCCAGCTCATTGTGGACACACGCCACTGCTGCACGTCAAATTCGGCGCACGTTCACGACCGCGCTAGCCACATCTCCACCACTGACACGGACGGTCGCCGACGTTCTCCGCCACCATCGCCAACTCAGCTGCGACATGCAGCAATACCAACATGGAACCTCGCCCGACCCAAACGCGCATCCCCACTGGGAGCGCGTTCGCGACCACTTTCCGCAGCACCTCGACCGCGGACGGCCTCCACCACCTGCATTCTCGCCAATGCAATGACCACGCAGACCTGCCGTTGGAACGCCAATACCGCGCCTGGCTGACCACAAAACATGTGCCCCCCCTGCGCACGCAGTTTCCTCCCCCCCTCTGGCTCAGGTTTCGCGATCGCGTGCGGCTTGACCACCACGCGGACCTCCCGGCGTGCCAACACCAATCCCGTGCTGAGCTTCTCGCAAAACACATGCACCCACTCGGTGCATATTTTTCTCCACTATTTTACTTACACTTTGCTGACATCCAGCAGTCCCAACACTGCACCTCGCCCAACCCAAATGCGCATCCCCACTGCGCACGCAATTTGGCGCACATTCGCAGCCCCTCTCCACAGCACCTCGACTGTCAACACCCTCCACCACCTGCATTCTTGCCAATGCGACCACCACGCGGACCTGCCGTTGGAACGCCAATACCACGCCTGGCCCACCACAAAACACGCGGCCCCACTACGAGCACCGCCACCTCGACCCTCTCCCTCACACTTCGCGACCGCGCGCGGCTTAACCAACACGCGGACCTCCCAGCGCGCGAATCCCAGTGCCGCGCCTAGCCCATCGCACAACACGCGCACCCGCTCAGTGCGTATTTTTCTCTGCTATTTTGCTTACATTTTGCTGACATCCAGCAATGCCAACATGGTGCCTCGCCCGACCAAAATGCACGCCTGCACTGCGCGTACAATTCCGCATGCGTTTGCACCCCTCTCCACAGCACCTCGACTGCCGACACCCTCCACCACCTACTCTCGCCAACCAGACCACCACGCGGACCTCCCGTTCGAACGCCAATACCACGCATGAGCCACCGCAAAACACGCGCCCTCGCCGCGTGCGCCGCAACCTCAATCCTCTCCCTCACACTTCGCGACCGCACCCAGGTCGACCACCGCCCGGACCTCCCGTTCGAACGCCAAGGCCACACCTCATCCCTCGCAAAGCACGCGCCTGTGCTGTGTGCGCAATTTCCTCCACACTCTCACCCCCGTTTTGGCACCATGCCCAGACAGCGAATGCCGACGGACATGCCCTAACAGTCGCACCGCAAACAACTCCCACCTCGCCCGATTTCCTCTCGCAACCGCCACCATGGCCTCCGTCACTGATGCTCCTGCAACCACCACTGGCAGCAAATGCAAGATGAGGCATCTGTCGCCGTCCACACCAGTGCCTTCACCCGCAAAAAGGCAGAAGCCCAAAGACAGCGACGACATGTAAGTCTTCATACCCACTCATCGCCATATACCAGCCAACATGCAGTTCTTTGCAGATTCTTGCCGACAGCACACACCGACTCCACTGCATCCGATACTCCCGCAGACGATGCTCACGCCAGTCACCGACCCGACGAGACTCCCGGTAAGCCTTACCGCAACAAAGGAAAGTGCATCGAGAAAACCAGGACACCGTGAGTCGCTGTTTGCCACCAGACAGACACTTCCGCTAACTGCACCATATATACAAGAACCGAAGTGCTCCAGTCGCTGTTGAAACTCAGGTACTCCCTTTGGCAATTATCCACTGTGACTCACACTGACACTTTCTTGCAGAGAAACACTCGCCGTGACATGTGCCATAAACAACGTGTTTGTCCTTGTGCAACCCATGTATCTCAAGAGGGCATTCCCTTCAAACATCGCCGAGTACGTCCATTTGCCCTTGCTTTTTCTGCCATACTACTAATCAACCCCAAAGACGTCTGGACCACGTCTCGATCACCACCGCACACGACATCATCAATCTCACGACTGCAGACCCCACAGCACTCCACTTTGTCACCATCGGAGCCTCCGACTACCTTCAGCTCAAGACGAGCACCCATCTCACGCTCTTCTCTGTCGTCGGCTCCATTACCCACAGCGACCTGATCAGTCCGAGCGGTCGCAGCCGTCAACTCTGCGTTGCACCATCAGCACTCACCTGGCCACGTGCGGCTGCCGTCCTGGGTGCCATTCTCAACAGACGAACACTCATCTTCCCGTCGTTCCATGCTGGCCTCTCCTTCTCAACAAGGTTGACCACTAGCACCTCAAACACTCCAGCCAAGATCTGCGGCATGGCTCCCGCCACTCCGGTGAATGCACAACGCGGTACGTGATGTCTCGCACTACAAAATGTTCACTAACGCACCCTGCAGGTCCACCCCCCGTGCTGCCGGCCGATCGAGATGGTAAGATCGCCCCCAACCTTCTCGCACATGCGCCCTAACTCACTCCTCCCGCAGTGCCGACTTTCGACGGGTGTAAGCCCTTCAAGTTCTCCATGCGCTCCATATCGATGCTTCCCAAAATCCACGACGATCTCTCCACAGAGTCTGCTGTCCTCCTGCTCTTCACTCTTGGGAAGGACATCAAGAGCCACCCTGAACTCGATGATGAAAATGCCGACACCACTATCTCCCTCAACATCCAATCCATCGTCCTTCTCGCCAATCCGGGATTGATGCCCCACGGCTTCCTCGAGGACGAGCCTATGCCCCTCCTTAGAGTCTTCCAACTGAATTTCGAGCCTGACCAACACCTGTAACTACTGTAATAAATGCCTGTACTTGTACTACATAACCACCAATCATACACCCTCACTCTTACAAAAATCGTCAGCACCCCATCGGAGTCGGGGAATGGTGCGAGTGCCGCTACGATAGTTAAATAGCCTTACAAATATTCTCCTTGCGGGGGCCATTTCTTTGGTTTCTTAGAGACAGTTGTAACATGGAATTTATATGCTGCCTTCATAAGAAAATGTGCAACATTAGTTGCATGCTGAGTGGGAGCGAGTTCATACCTGTCTAAGTATTCAGTCATTTCATGCATAAATTTATAAAATGTCTGAATATCTGTGGAGCCATCATATGCTGTAGGCTTCTTAGGCTTAAGTATGGGTACTCATTTCTTATTCTTAGAGGACCTAACATGAGGTCGCTCGCCGCCATCCCCTTTATTAGAAGAAGGTGTCTATGGCACAGCCCAATCTCAGGGACTTGAACACAATTCTGAGGTAACTGCCAGGCTCGATTTGAGCCACAGGCTGCATAATAGCAGGTGCCCTTGACGAAGGGGCCTTTACCTTCTTATTATCCATATGAGGGGTGTGCCTCTTTATGTCACGCATAGCATTGTGAGCACAGCAGTCAGGGCCCGACCGCTGAACATTCAAAATGGCCTCCTCAAGTGCCACGAGATGGGCACGAAGTTCTTCATTCTCGCGCAAGACATCATTGTGCCAACGATTATCACCACTGTCTGCACTACTGGCTATGGACATGGAGTGTCCAGGTCCAACTGATGAATTGGACAGCGCAGATAGTTTGCATGCATTCACTGTCGGTGGATGTGTCTGCTCATCCTGAGTGGCCTTGTGGGCATGCCAATGCTCAAACATCTCTTGTTGTTCCTCAAGGCTCATTCCCTCATCTTGGAGCAAGCTGACATGTATCTGCCCACAGGAATACATTTTGTACTCCCTCACCTGAATTTTAGGATCCAACTCTTCTTGAGGAATCCTGCTATTGCCCCATTCTCAGGGATCAATGGCTTTGCCCTTATGTGAAGGTCCTTCTCCGTGAGACTCAGGGCTAGTCGCAGCCTCACTCTCCCTCACAAGGGATGGGTGGTTTTGGGGAGCAGCACGTACTGCCTCCCCGGACTGGCTGGGCTGAACGGTGTCAGACTACTTACTGCATGCATGCAGTTCTCATAGTGAGCTCTGTCACTGGAGCTCATTGACCTTTCTGCCGTGGCAAATGTGTGCAGTTGAGCATGACTCAGCAGGCTTAAACTTCCCATACGTTGGTGGGAGCTCAAGGTCCAGTTTGCGGAGTCCACACTTCGAGGGTGATGCCGCGGACTGACAGTGATCCATTCACCTTGTCCGGCACTTGCATCGGACATGCCTGGCTCACACACAGTAGTGTCAGACAAGCCATTCTCACTCTTGCTGTTTTCAGGACTGGCAAGACTAGTGAGAGGACTCAATATATTTTCTGATTCAGTAACAGAAATCTCCCTCCCTATGCTAGACCCAGAGGAGGGGCTACTCGACATGACCGCCTGGCTGTAGGACAACCCAGGGATCACAGCAGATGGGCTAAAAGCACGCGAAGGCACTTTGCCACCACTCAAACTAAGAGAGGCATCAGCGTTCTCAGTATCACAACTATTTTCATATCCACTGGGGATGGAGTTTGCAGGTGAAGCCAGCCTTGATGAGGACACAGTGTGCGAGCAAAGATTGTATCGACCGGACATGAGTACATCTTGATGATAGGGTAGGATAGGACTGGGATAGTATAACAATAGAGTGTTGCCGGTGTCGGAAGGTTGAGTTGATCAGACCCGAGGGGACCCAGATCCTGAACACAAGCAGAAAGTAGTAGAGTAGAGTTTCGAAGAAAGCCTAGTTTGTGAAAAATATGTGATGTTGGCTAACCAAATAGGAAAGGTCACATCACATAAAGAGCGCACACATGGGTCAAAGCTTTAAAGGCTGATATTCGATTTACGATACGCTGACCTCTACTCTACAAAGAGCAGGTCTTTTATATGTCGGGAGACCCTAATGCTAGAAGTCTCTAGACTAAGCCGAGAATATGAGTTGGGGTAAAAAAGAAACAGAATTAAAGGAGAAAGATCAAAAGCATGTGGAGGTGAATGACATTGAGTAAGCATCTAAGAAAGAAAATAAAGTAGATGTCTTTCCACGTCGCCACAACAACATATGGATTTTCTGTGGGTTCGATGGTTCGGGCGTGATCTGACAGCGCTGGGTGGTTTCAAGTCTCGCTGCTTACATTGCATCAGTTTTGTCAACTTTGAAGATTACAATCCATTCAGCTTTCTCAATCTGAATGAAGTTTTATTAGCTGTGCATCTCCTTCCCACCTTCATGCATGGATGAACATCTCCTTCCATTGCACGATGGAGCTCTGAGGATCACGAAGACTGGAAATACTACTATGTGAATATGTACATGCCCCGCCGTATACTCTTGCTACTGATTGACCTCTATCCTGTGCAGGTTCATCGATTGCGACATGTTCATGTGCTATCTAGGCGGTGCAGTTGGACACAAGGGAATTGGTGTTCCCATCCAGGGGAATGATGATGCAGACATTGAGGATGTGGCTGATGACGCAAAAATTGCAGATGAGGAAGATAATCTCACAGTCGGGGTTCAAGATGAAGATGAAGATGTTGTACAAGAAGAAGAAGATTATGGCTACTGGGATGAAGATGAGAAGGTCACTGGAGATGAAGAGAGTGATTGTGATGAAGAAGATCTTGGCCCGGAGGATGGTGAGGACAAGGAGGATGAGTACAGTGACAAAGGCTATGCACCACTGCAGCACGCAAGTACTCCTGGGACTTGTAATGTTATGGTCATGTATTATAATATGCACCTATATACAAAGTGACTGCCTACATCTATATACCGTCTGCATACCCAACAGGACTCTGCCAGGATATGCATACCTACACCACCAAACCAAGCTGATATTTTACTTCAATTGGTCTCTATGCTATCTTGGATTCTCAATGCTACATTGTACTTGACACATTCTCGAGATTTTGACTGTCGTGTGATGTGGCATTCACTCATCTCTGCGTCTCTTTCTTGGTCTCTGCTCAGTATCTACATCCATGTCCAATACATCACTCTGTTCCATGGCCTCTGATTCCAACTCGTCTGCTTGTCTTTGCTCAAGCTCTTAAACTCGCTCTGATTGGGCTGCCTGTGCTGCTTTTGCTGCCTTGTTTCATGCCCGGGTTGCAGCACCTTTGGCTCTGGTTTCAGCTTGCTTGTCTCTGTTAATGCGCACACCAGATACAAGCTCAGCATGCCATTTTACTCTGTTCTTGATGAGTGGCCGTGGAGCAGTGAGTGCGTGGGGGAGACAGCGATGCAGGAGGTGACTGTTGTGTAGGGCATGGGTATTTATAATGAAGCGGTTGTTCTCATTGTGAAATATGGTGCGTGTTACTCTTCCAGTGACTTCTCTTTCCTGCAAGATGGGTCAGTTGGTTGACAGGTGCAAGTGCAACAATCATGTTGCACATTCAGTATAAAGTGGATTGCCTGTAACATTCAATCAGCCTGCAAGTCCCATCTGGCAATAAAATACAACATACCTTAGATGGAACAACATGATATGTTTTTTGAGTTGTGAAGGGCCATGGCATACCCAAGGTTGAATGCAGTGAGTCACCTATAAGAAATGTGTCCAATGTGACGAATGCTGTTGTTGACTCTGCACCATCAGCAACTAGAATTTCCGCTATGTGTCCAATCATATTCTCTTGGTCTCTCTATTACTTGTGGGGAGTGGGCCATTGCTCTGTATGGCAGGAACGATTCCTGAGGTTCTGTGTTCCTGCCTTTCTCTCATTATCTAATTGTTTCCCCATGCATTAATCATTTTGTATTACTCCTTAGTAGTTGATTACTTGTGAAGAGTGGTCCATTGCATTGCATGGCATGTTGCATTTTTATTCAGTATCTATTTAAAGGTTTCACCAATTTGTATTCACTTAAAATAGTCACTTTAGGCAAAAATCTACTAACATTTGATGCTATACTAATAAGTATAAAGAACTCAAGTCTTTCTTGTAGTGTATAACTTGTGTGGAGTGGGCCATTGCTCCGCATGGCAGTAACGATTCCTGACAATGTTTATATCACATCTGTGATCAGTGTCTCTAAATATTGAGAACATCATGAGAGAATAAAGCACTTGAATCTGTGCTTCTTCTGGCTTCGAGACACTGTGGAGGCTGGTCAAATTGCACCGGTGTATATTCCTACTGCAGAGATGGTAGTGAACATTTTAACAAAGTCCTTGCCAGCGGCAAAGATTATCTACTGCTGCGAGATGACGGACTTGAAGATCTAATCTCCAAACCCTCGGATATTTCTGAATGTGCTGAATGACTCGGACATTCTCGGGTCTGTATTTCCTCGGACTTCCTCGGATCATGTGTCTGCCACGTCATATACCATTCTCACTGCTGCGGTTCAAATCATCTCTTTGCACCATTCATCACTATGAAAACATTCGCTCTCACTCTTCTTATTACTGCAGGGGCACTCTTCCCTGCAATCATCCTCCTTTCATTTTACTATGTCATCACGCATATCTGGCCAGCACCACCCCCACTCGACATTGAATTGGAATGCATCACCATTCCAGCATCAAATCAACCGTCCCATCGCATGCTAGTTCACCCAGCTGTGCCACCTCGTGCACACATCCAGTGACACTCTCTGCACTTCACCACTTAACAGTTTGATGAACTGGATGACCTTGCATCTATAATGCTGCGTGAGAGTGAGATGGAAGCCGATCATCCATCCAAGTCTAAATCGCGTGACGAGGAACATTGGAATGTCGTGAAATGAGTGGGTTCAGGGAGAGGTATATGAGACGGTTCTTGCATTGTGTTGAAGAGGGAAGACTGGTTGAATTAAGGAGAAGTGTTAGATTAGATAATTCATCAGTCTCCCAAAGGTCTAGACTCAAAGCAATGCAAGGTGCTGTGCACCTAGATACCTGTTGATTAGTCAGGGTAGGCTGTGCTATGCACTGCCATGTAGAGGCTATGCATAGCTATGCCTACCTGTGTTCATAGCCACAATCCTGTGTTAGTGCATAGGTTTGTATAACCACACTCTAGGTAGACTTGTGTGGTGGAGTGGACCATTGCTCCTTTGTATCACTGTTCTTAGCATACACTCCTCTGGCATACATTGTATAAATTTAGGTTATATATATCATTATTCTTAAGTGGCTACCTCATCTAAGTGTCTAACTCATTTACCTCATATTTATAGCTAGCCTTTACAACTTAGAATAAATAGCTATGCTACATCTTCGGCCCCTGGTATATGCCAACATCTCAATGTTCATAGTTTCAAGCTTACCTTCTAGCTTACATAGGCAACCAGTGGTCATTCCATCATTGTACCAGACCTGTCCATCTTTCGTAACTACTCGTGCTGTAAAGTGAAAGCTACCGTAGTATATCATTCCACATAATCTGTACTCTGTATTTTCAGTACCTATGGTTATAGTCTTATCAAGGCGAACTTTAACACCACTTATTTGAAACAACACAAAGTGCGTGGACTCAAAGGCAATACTCAGCCTTAGCCTATGGTTACATCACATGCAATAGATGTCTTTTTCAGAAGCAGTGGCTCAAGCCAGTCTGCAATGGGTCGATTCTTATATGATCCCATTTTTTTTGTGGACTCTTTCCATGCCGCCCTTGTACAATCCCATAATACAGCATCATCTCCTTCTGATTCTTGATCCCTCTTACAATTCTGACAGGTAAGTGTCCTTGAAAGGTATTCCTCTTCATATTTGAGTACAATGCTGCATAAATTAAAAAGTTCTGTTCCATTAGGTCCCTCTACTGGGAATGCAATAGGATCCTCTTTGTGAAGCGCTTGTCGCAGCATATCTCTAGCCTCTTCCATGGTCAATGTGCCCTCAGTCACTTGTGTAAATGCATTTTGCACTGAGACAGTAGCAATCCATTGTCGAGTCTGAGTGTAGTAGATGTCATATAGGATGGTAAACAGACTATCATAAGCACAACTGTATGATTCTGCATCCCATTCAAATCCTACAGGTGCACAGGAGGTCACATTGTTCAGCTGTATGTCTGTTCTTTGCTGTTTGGCAGGATTTTCCTCCTTCACTTCATCAATATCTTGCTTGCATTTAGTCCCACGTCTTTCTCCAGGATCGTTGTTTAGAGTATTTAAAACCTTGGTTCCCTTTGCAGTAACATATTTGACAACATTCTTTAAGGTATGTGGTGCATCACTAAGCTCACCCTCTGGTTCATTTTCTGCTTCAACTTCAGTCTGATTGCCCTTCTTCTTATTCTTCTTCTTGGGAACAGGAATAATCTTCCATGGACTTTCCTCTTCTGGTGGATCTAGAGGAAATGGTTTATCAGAGGACCATTTAAGTTCAAAGTGTATACCTTTAGGAATGTGTGCATGCCCTTTTTGTGTGCGGAAGGAGTGAATCAGAGCATTGTGTGTAACACCTTCAACCTTATCTGAAAGTTTCTGCTCATATCATAATTTGGTAATCTCATCTAACAACTCCAGTTCATGGAATTCCTGTCTCATGTATCCATTCAATCCACCGGTCATTTTATGAGAGTCAAATCCTTGAACAATGATCGTCCCCTCATAGGTAGATCCCCGTGAGAGACAAGTATAAATGGACTGATGATTCTTACAGTTCTGCAGGTCACACACATTATCAGGTCTCGTACGCCCTTAGGATGCAAAGTCTGTCATGGCAAAGTTGGGCAGCACAGCCACCTGATGTCTCATGATCGTTATTAACTTGTCATTCTGCATCATACATTTCGTCTTTAGTCCCTGTTGACTTATAGGTACCACGTTCTTGGGAAGTCCTTCAAGTTGTATTGGTGTTGGTGCTGTCAACTTGACAAACAGTGTTTCTAACGTGTTCTTGTTATCAGCAATAGGTCATGATTTCCATCCAACTACAACCCCCTCTGCACCATTGGTGACACTACATTCCGTCACTTCATTGGATTTAATCATTACAGGTAATCCCAAACATAGAGTTAATTTTCCAGCACGATGTTCAGAGTTGGCCGGTGGAAGATCCCATAGTTTCTGTTGAAGGAAAGGATCAATGACATTAGAAGTACATTGGGGATTCAGTGCCCTTTGATTTCTCTTTGATTTTTTACCTTCATCACCTGTATCCCAACAGAATAAAAGGTATGTAATGGCTGACCGGTCTCTTGTGCAAATCGTTCACAGCCAAGTTCATTAATCTTATCACGGTAGGAGTTCCATGAAGTTATCATTGACACATTTCTGAATCTAGGCTGATTTAACTTTGGCTTATTGGCACCACGACCTGCAATGCGTGTTTGGAGATGCTTTATGTCCGCCATCGTACAAGACTTAAAGTGCAAGTTCTCTAGAGCTTTGCGTAGCTTAGCATCATTGGGATTTTGTTGGCGCTGTCTCATATTTTCACGCAGAAGAACTACAGTCGTAACTTGATGCCACAGTGCTTTGCCTATAATAATTTCCTGCTTAATATATGAGTTCGTTGTGTGAATAGATGTAGCTACCTTATGTGAATATAATGGAGAACCCGTGCCTGCAGGTGGTAACTGAGCAAAATCACCAGCAAATATCATATTCACTCCGCCATAAGGCTGTCCTTCATTTTTTAGTGCCTGACACATCTTAGAACTGCTACGATAAAGACTGTGACAATCAACCATTGACACTTCATCTACAAATATATAGTCAACATTCTGAAGGTGGGCTCGAACCTGCATTAAAGATGTCTGTGAATCACCATATTTACTAAAGCCAAGCATAGAGTGATATGTAGACCCAGCA